CCTCCTCTCCTGACGAGTGGAGACGGCGGTATTAGCCCTGTCGCTGCACGTGGGCTGAGAGTTATTAAATGTGACCTGGATTTAACTGTAACTCAATAACTAAAAATAAGGAAGTCATTAAGAGCCATTTGTTAATGTGGAGCTGTGTTGTTGCAGGGCTCTCCAATCACTGTGACACTGCTGGGGGAGAACACAAGCTGCTCCATATAGCGGGTTAAAGCAGTATAGCATACATATATATATATACACACCTCGGTATGTTAGTCTCACCTCTGGGGAAAAACATGAAAGTCACAAGAATCTATACGCGTAACTTTCAATAATAAGTCTTCCTTCCACAAACTGTGTACAGTCCTGACTGTGAGCATCCTGGCACCGTTAGAGGGGTAACACCAACATCAGTGTTTATTATGAGGAAACCCTCATCTGATTCTCACTGTAAGATATTAAAACATCATTAAAACTTAAACATTCAGTGTAATGCCAGTGAACTACACACACTGATAGTTGGGCACTGCTGTGTGTTGTTCCCTAAAAGAAAAGATTTCCTCATTGTATATACTACTATGATAAATCTGATGTTTTTATATCAGATTTGAATGATTCAGTAGTTTTGCTGCGATGCCCCAATAAATGTGTATTTATCAAAGGCCAAAGTGCCTTAAAAGTGACTTAATGAAGGCCTTCAGTTGTCTGTAATCGGTACAATCAACACGACCTCAACCACAAACACGACAGGTAATCTATGTGTCACGCTGACGTGCAGAGTTGGAGCTCAATCTTTGAGGCTTCTGTTCCTTTGAACCCTGGCTCCAGGTCACTTACTTGGCCCACCCGAGGGTCTCCATCTCAGAGATGAGCTGCGAGTAATACTGTGGAGGCGGGATGGAGCGGCACTCAGGGCGGCTCTTCAGACCCACTTCCTGCAACGACAGAGAGAATGCCCGTTATTCTGAGCTCAGGTCGTCCTGCTGCAGCACAACTGAACTGCCCAAAAGTCTCCTGCTTGTGTTTGGTGGCAGGCACACCGGCTCTCACACTTTCCATTAATCTAACGGAATATACATGTGCAACGTGTGCCGCACAATCAAGGCTATTGACAGAGCTGGAAGGTTTCCATTTGCGTCCTATTCATAAAGCAACAATGTCAGAGTGACCGTGTAAGCGCCGTGTCGTCCTCCTCCTCACCAAGACGGTCTTCAGCTCCAGGATGAAGCTGACGAGATCAGCCGACTGCTGCAGCCTCTGAGGAGTCAAAGCAGAGAGAAAAGACATCCTTGAATGGAGCATAATGAAGTGACACTGTCTGTTTTTTTATTCCTCCTCCTCTAGCCAGCCATTCAAATCAAACAGTGTTTGTGATTAATGGGGGCTGCCACCAGCTTTAATAATTAATGATAGCTTAAAGGCTGTGAAAATAATGAACTTTGCAGCCCGGGGTGAAATATCAATCTCATCCAAATAACCCTGAGGGGCCACATAACAAATAGGGACATTTTCCAGGCGATGTTAATTAAACAGTGAAAAATATTTTTCTCTGCTCCCGAGTGAGGCGAGTCTGATGACACAGAGAGTGAGGCGAGTCTGATGGGTGACACAGAGAGTGAGGCGAGTCTGATGGGTGACACAGAGAGTGAGGCGAGCCTGATGGGTGACACAGAGAGTGAGGCGAGTCTGATGGGTGACAGAGAGTGAGCGAGGCCTGATGGGTGACTCGGAGCGACGCCGGGCACGAAGCAGTGACGCAGCAGAAAACAGGAAACAGCTCAACGACAAACATACGACGGGCGTGTGGAGTTTACCTGCTTCACGATGAGCTCGTAGCCACGCAACAGGTGCTTCAACTGGCAGCAGCAGTGCAGCCTGCAGGGACGACACACACACACACACATTAGATGGTTCCCAACCTGGGGGTCAGGGCCCCACTAGGGGTCACAAGGCCTTCCTGATTTTAAGGTAGAAACCTTTAAAAATATACACAGCAGGCCTTCAGTTCACCGTCTACATGAACGCGGGTCATAAAGAAGACGATTAGGTACGAACGATCGTTAAAAATACATAATTCAGACAGAGAATTGTGTTAAAGTTTCCTTCAAATATCAGGAAAACTCATCTCTGATCAATAATAATATAACACAATCTGGTGTTCACGGTTTATTCTCTACCGTTGTTGTGACGCACTGAATAAAACACATATCATATATATATAAAATATGTCCTTCAGTCAAAGATAGAACAGGTTGGGAGCCGCTGCTGTGAGGCGAAGGTCAGGTAATCAGTCGTACCTGGCCCGGGACAGCTGGTGATCCGGGGGCAGCAGGATTCTTAATCTGAAGTCTCGTTCCTGTGAGATCCACAACAACAACAACACAGAGTGATAGAGTGTTTTAAATCCTGGTTGCAAAAAAAGTTCATAAAGTTTGTCTAAAATGTCCGAGTATTAACTAAACGTTGCCGAATTCACCAGTGGGTCGTAGACACTCGTGAAATGTCTGAAGTTATTTTCTACCACGCGTGTAATTGTCTCCACAGCGAGGAATCCTTAAATTGACACCTTTTTGAATGTAGTTTGGTACAGCGCTGTTTCACTCGTCACAACACCCCACCGACTGACGCTCATAGAACGTTACTGTAAAACGAGACGTAGCGTTACGTTGTGACGTTACTGCGCGTGCAAATCTGTTAATAAAAGTTAACTAAAGTTTTTCTACAGAGCACAAATAGTAACTATACATGTGCCGAAGTTAGCAGCGGTCCGTAGACATACGTTAAATGCCTGAAGTTATTTTCTACCACGCGTGTAATTGTCTCCACAGCGAGGAATCCTTAAATTAACACATTTTTGAATGTAGTTCGGTGAAAACGCTGTTTGACACAGTAACGTTACCTGGACAGTGATGAACCCGTCGTAGACAGTTTTCTCCTGGTTGAGCGGTAAAAGCAGCGGGTTGTCTTTCACCAACGAACTCATGTTAACGGTAACTGCTCAACTGCTAACGTTAGTTCACGTTATTTCACGTTATTTCACTTAAAGCCGTTAAATCGATGAATGTGACGTTAACGTTAGTTTTCAGACAGGAAGTGGCTCGCGAAGTCTCCTCGCGCCACAAAAACAAAACAGCCGACGTCACTCTGCTGCCTTCACTGACTTCTGAAAAATATCGGAATGTCGATACAGACACTTGTTGGTGAGGCGTTTAAGTGTCAAAGTAATGTGTGGTTGTATATTTATTGTTTAACTGTGATTTGCAATTATTACAAGACATTATTTGGTAATTATTGGTAATTAGATACACACAGTCACGTAGTTTTATTTACGTATTATTGTTATTATTATAATAGTTGTACTGTTATTGTTGTTGTTGTTGTTTTTAAATAATAAGTGTGTGTGTGTGTAGTGGCTGGGGGGGGGGGGGGGGGGGGGG